GTAGGTGCTTTAGACCACTGAGCCATCTCACCAGCCTCTAGGTTGTCATTTTAAATATCACTTCTTTTAACTTCAGGTATTTTTCTGACTTTTTTTTTTTTTCTTTTCTTTATTTTTTTTTTTTTTTTTTTTTTTTGAGACAGGGTCTTATTGTGCAGCTCAGACTGATCTTGAACTCACTGTGTAGCCCAGGCTGGTCTTGAACCCAGGTGGCCTCCCAGGAGCCACCACGCCCAGTGTAGTTTCAGTTTTGTTACATGCTGTGATATTCTTTTCTGTGTGATCCTTTAAAACTTTGAGCATGCCTTATAATATTCGCATTTTAAGAGAAAGTTATAACTTGTTTATATATGTGTCCCCAAACTGTACGTTCCTTGAGAATAATAACCAGGCCTCCAATCATCTGTTTCCCTATCCTTAGCCCATGTTTGAATACAGCAAGGATAGGCACAGAATAAATATTGGTCAAATGAATAAATGGAAGTTATTGTTTTCTCTATCTCTGAAAGCTGATAGACCACATTGCTGAATGAGGGTGGATTCAGATGATTCAGAAACCAAACAAGTACGTTGTAGATCCAATTATATGTTGCAGGTAACAGTGGCTGGACCAGAGAGATGTCCTTGAGGGAGGCAGATGGGCTGCTCTCAACAGGCCATTCTGTGGCGTGTCCTTAGGAGGTCACCACAGTCCAGGGTAGCTTCGTCTTTCATGTAAGACTTTTGTGGCTCAGGCTGTCTGAAGGCAGGTCTGGTAAGGCAGGTGGAGCTGGGGATTAAACGGCGGTATCCTGCGCCTGACTGCGTTTACATGAGAAGGCGCTTAAACAACTGAGCTAACCGGCAGGCCCCCTCATGTAAGACTCTTGGCCAGTCATACACATGCACACAACCACATACAGAATTAGACCTAGGTGCTGGGCTTGTACTATTACACTATTGTGGTTGAGGAGACTTCAGTATGAAAAGTGGCTTTGTCTTCTGGCTTTCCAGGGCTTCCAATCTATCAAAACTGGCAGATGTTAATCAATAATCACAGGAACAAATATATAATACGGTCTTCCACAAGTGCATACTAGGAAGAAAAGGACAGGCCATGGAGAGCATACCAGTGAGTCTTGTCTTGGAGAGCAATGAAGGCCTCCCTGAAGAATCCACAGGAGTTAACTAAGAGAGGGGAGAGACATTCTAAGCAGAAAGGACAGCATATACAAAGGGTTAGGCCAGGTGTGGTGACACACCCCTGTAATACCATCACTCAGAAGGATGAAGCAGGAGGACTGCTGTGAGTTTGAGGCTAGCCTAAGACCTCTCAAAACAAACAAACAAGGCTAGGTAGAAGAGACCATAGTGTGTTTGAAGAGCCACAAGAAGTCTGAAGTAGCTGTGGAACAGCATGAATGAAGTCAAGGAGAAAAAACTGGTAGTTCATTATCATATTTACATTTGAAAAGATTCCTGGCTGCAGAATGAACAGATTGGAAGAGGGATGAATGGAGGCGATCAAGAAAGGGATTAATGGCATGCATCTAGTTTATGCCTTGTAGTATTAGCTTTATAATATTGTAAAGAACCCCCCACTTCCCAAAACACCTATGCTTTGCTATCCCCACTGACGGGCATTTTTCTGCTCCTACTTGTGAAAGCTGGGCAGGTGGCAGGCAGTCAGGGCACTTCCTATTTACTGGCCTACCACAGGGGGCAGGTAGGCTAATGATGGGGATGGCAGTGCAAGGAAAGTGGATACCATCTGCTAAAATCTTCCAGAATCCTGTGCCCGAAGTTTCCAAAGAGGGCCTGTATCTTTTCTTTCTCCTTTTATGTATTTCTCAACTGCTAACCATCAACTCACACCTATCTGATCTGTGTCCTTCTCATGCCACCAAAGCAAATGAATCACCTTTTGTAAGCAGGTATGAGCAAAGGCTAGCAGGTGATGTCAACTCTTAATGATCTTAGAGTAATTTTTTTTTAATGTTAATTGGTATAGGGTATCACTATGCACCTTGGACTCATAGTGATCCTCTTGTTCTCAGCCTTCTCAGCACTGGGATTACAGGTGTGCACCACCATGCTCAGACTTGGTGGCCAGCACAGCGCTCCCTGGATTCTTGGGCCACTGTGGCCTGTGGTACCTGGGATTGAACCCAGGTCCCTGCACTTGCCTAAGCAGGTGCTGAGTCCACTGAGCTATCTCACTAGCCCCTTAGAGTGATTTTCTAAGAAAGTTTTAATGGCAAAGGATCAGACAGAATGGGACAGAAGTTGAGTTCAGTTTTGTACATGTTGAGTTAGAGGTTCTTTTAAAGGTTAAGCAAGGTTATTTGTGTGTAAACATATGGGCCTGGAATTCAAGATCGGCCTTAAAAAATTAAGCAACTCATTGCTGTAGAAGTGGTTGTAGGGACAGTAGGCATAGTTGAGAGTAGAAAAGAACTTCTCATACGCCACACCCTCCTTCTTTTAATGTTTTTGAGTGCATAAGAGAAATTACAATATATATGAGTAGCCAGGTATGGTAGTGAACCCTGTAATCCCAGAACTTGGCAGGCTGAGGCAGAAGGATTGCCATGATCTAGAGGCCAACCTAAATTACATA